GGGAGAGAGCCGAGTCACTTCCGCTCCAAAAAGTGAGTGTTTACCTTCAGTCGCTGAGGAAATGACTGCACGGGCCTGCAGAGAGTTCACAGGCCGCTCTCACATTTCTCTCTGCCTCTGGTACTCGCCATCACTGCATCATCGGCTGCCAAGAAACACACACACACACACACACACACACACACACACACACACACACACACACACACACACACACACACACGCGCAATGCAAATACAGTCCATCGTAGCTCAGACATAAACCACCCCAAGATAAGATACAAGATAGTTACTTCCCTTCTGAAAACTGAAACTCACTGCATCAGATAATCATGACAAACAGGAAAGAGAAATACACAGATGTATTACACAACCTAAAGATAAAACCAGCTTCTACATGAGAAAAAGTATCAACACCACAATGTAAGTGTGCGCAAGTACGATCAACAGTAATAATAAAAGCACTCACTATGCTGCAGACTGGCCCATGTCAGTGTTATGGTGCTATATATTATATAACTGGACTGTTATTACAGATGCATTAACAGGTTAGCACCAGTATTTCTAATATCTCAATCTGCAAAGTAACTACTAACTGTAAAATAACGGCAGTGTAGATAAAAGTAGAAGCACATCCTACTGATCCTTTCCTTTTCCCTCTCTAGCTGATGTCATTAAAATAGCTGTTGTGACTTGGTTGGATGCACCTTTCTCTCACCAACCACAGAGGCGCTTCACCAAGTTGTTGTTTTTTCATGAATCACAAGCTCGGCTGTGTGAACTTCAGGGAAATATCGTCTGTGTGTGCCTTCTGCAGCACTTGCTTCAACTTGAAGTCATTTGTTGGAATAAACTTGCATCCTTCCAAGTGAGTCTCCGGGTTAACTTCAATCCGTTTCAGGGAAAAAGAGTCAAATCCATGCGAGGGCTTGACGTATTTTTTAGGTCAACCAAATGTAGGTCTTAACACCCACTGGGCCCCGAGGTCTGCTAGTTTAACAAACGCTGGTTTGATTTATTCCAATCAGATTATCAATTTGTAATTAAGCTGCTTTGGATATTCCTGCTCCACCGAAACATCAACAAAAACACTAGAAAAAATACCGAAGGCCACCTCAAATAGCAGTTTGTGTGTATGAACACAGCGGTCGTTGCTCAGCATCGGGAGGAGAGCAAAGTGTTATTTGAGACCTGTGTTTGGGCGCGTCAACAGCACCGACACAATCTGTTTGGCAACGTTTCAGTCAGAGCGTAAACTCTCCTCCGGGGTTCATGTGATGTTCCTGTCAAGATACAACGAAACAAACGGACTGAAACTGAAGTAATAACGCTGGGATGAACAGACAGGGATGATCTCAAATTAGCACGTATTCGTGGTCTTAGCTGTGGGCAAATTGCCGCATTGTCGATCTATTTAGTGAGTTTACTGCCGTTATAAGGAAGCGCTTTGTAATTTCATCTACGGAACAAACAGCCACAGAAAAAGAAGAAGTATAAACAAGGCCCTTTAATAGAGTAACATTTACAGCAGGTAACAGAGTGAATGTGATGTGGAGGAATATATGTCGGACACAGATGCATTAAAAAATTTATTTCACATTTTAACACTGACTTTTTTTTTTTTTTAGGAAGAATGCCATTTCTGTTTAAACCTACATGCAAAGGCTCCCTCTGTATGTAATACAAAAAACAATAAATATGATTATACGGGACTACCATGGCAAATCGTATGCTGGGTATACAGTAACAGATATTTAACATTTTTTGTGCCGTTTAAAATGACTCACACTTGTAAATGTACAGAGTAGCTACACGGGGATCGTTATAGTCGTACACGTGGTAAATGACACCAGAGACCTACAGTATAGCGCAAAAGGCTGAGAAGATTAATGCTCTGCTGTTGACCCATGATGCATCAGTCGAGTCACATCAGGAAGAATTTCAATAAGAGTATATGTAATTACATTGCATGTTAGAATACTGACGTTTTCATAGCACGTTACTTTTTCTTTTTAGTTGTTGTTACACGTTAACTTTTCCACAAATGTTAAACCCTCATTAATCCAGATAAAATGGCTAAAACTACATTCTTATATACAGAAACCGCCCGGGAGGCAATCGATGCCGGCGGAGGGACAGAAATGCACATGCGAGCACCCAAAATCAGTCCCACTAGGACTTGCTGGTTACATTAATACAGGTCCAGAAAAGGGAAACGCATTCCAGACAAACGGTAGCAGCTTGCACAAAAAAGCGGAATGCTAAGATATGGTCCGTAAAAGAGAGATGAAAGTCAAGACTGGAGAAACAGTTCACGCTGTTGATCCGGGAGCATCCTGATGCCAACCGACTGTGCCCTCTAACAGATAGATTAATGTACAGATACCTTCCAAATTAGATACGCTTGATGCAGATCACTTCAATTTGTCTGAGGACAGAGTAGAGCGATCAATATCGTGATACGAGACTAGATATCGTCTTAGCTTCAGGATATCCTCATAAGCATTACAGTAAAGTGATGTCATTTTCTGAACATAGCCGTTTCATTGTTCTAGACGCTCCATTATTTGCTTTAACCCACTTAGAAATTATATCTACGCTACTCATGATTATTTATCAAATATCTCATTGTGTACATTTTTGGTATATTGTGGTTTAACCCCATAATTTTGTTGCAATATCGATACTAACCTGACTAACTGACCATTTATTTGAGTTAATAAATATTGTGTAAAAACATATTCAAAAACTCAAATATTATCGATTTATCAAGATCAAAAGCTAGACATGAAGGCCAGGACATCTCTGCAGCATGACAATACTAAATAAATTTTTTAAAAAATGGTATTTTGGCAAACATTTTGCATTTAACAAGTATTGTAATTTCGATAAAAAAGCAGCCCTATATCCATCTCAGCTCAGTGTGTTGGCAAAAGCATGCCTAATTAGAAACTGAAGACAATTCAACAGCAGATCCAAATTCTCTAATATGTGAAACTATAAAAAAAACTGATCAACACGATCAGAGTCGTAATGTCCAGGTGGGAACTATCTTGAACAGCAGCAGCAGCAGTGACTCGGTTGATGGTCGAGTGTGTGCGTTCAAGGCACTTATATTTTAGAAGTGAGGAAAACGGCTCTTGTCCACTTCTGCCATCAATTTCCCAAATTATTGCCGGGGCGTTGGCAAAAACAGCAACTCCCTGTGCCAAGAACAACCTGTATGCTCCTGCTGCTGCTTTTTGAATGTCTGAAAAAGAAGACTCACTTCTGAAGAATGTGCAGTGGATATTTCAATCTTTTTTTTTTTGTGTCATCTAAGAGTGTAAATCATTAAAAATGCCAGATATAAACAGATCTCAAAGGCCAGGGTTATATGTAGCCTGAGTATTCACTTCAACAGCATGGAACAGAGATGACCGAATCCATCCATCATGTCTAGAAACTACAAACGTCTTATTCCATGTTTTTCATCCGGAGAAGGTCTCACGGTAAGAACACCAACAAACAGCTTCTCCTTAAATCAAGCCCTACACACAGTCCACCACGGAGCTGTCGTCCTCCTCGGGTCCCCACTCCCCAAACCTCATCTGAGGGGACGGAGCTGCCGGGTGGAGGTTGTTAATGTCGTCCATGGCATCTGGGTCCGCCTCCTCGGTGGGAGCGATCCCCATGTGACCGCCTTCCTCCCGGTGCGTGCGGATGTGCTTCCGCAGCGCTGCGGGCTCCTTGAAGCTGCGGTTGCAGAAGGGGCAGCAGCACGGCCTCTCTCCGGTGTGGATGAGCTGGTGGTGTTTGAGATGCTGCAGGCGGCTCAGGCGCTTCCCGCAGATGGCGCACACGTAGGGTTTCTCTCCGGTGTGCGTGCGCCGGTGTTTGCGCAAACCGTCCAAGTGGCGGAAGCAGTTTCCACACTCGGAGCAAGAGTACGGCTTCTCACCGGTGTGTATGCGCAGGTGGGTTTTAAGCGCCCCTGACTCGCGGAAGCGACGGCCGCAGACTCCACACGGGTAGGGCTTCTCTCCGGTGTGGATGCGGATGTGCTTCTTCAGGCTGGAGATCAGACGGAAGGTCTTTCCACACTCCAAGCAGTGGTGAGGACGATCTGGAGAGGGCTCCCCTATCGTGTCGGAGGCCGAAGGTCCCGCAGAGTCCTCCGCTCTGCCTGGCGAAACACTGTCTACCCTCCCGGCTCCGGCAGTCCTGGCCAATTGTTTCTGTCCATCGAGTCCACCCTGCTGCAAGGCACTGTTGCATTCTCGCACCGGTCTTTGGTGACGAAGAGGGTGAGTAAAGGAACGCTGGGAGACTCCCTCCCCTCCAACTTGAACGTAGCCAAGGTCACCGTCCCCAAGGTCACCGTCCCCGGCTCTGTTGTCACTACGCAAACCAGGCTCCTTCCTGCTGGGCTGACAGGAGCCGGCTCCCTGCTCCTCTTTAATCTCAAACCCGGACGCTCCACCTGGTCCCTGAGACTGCCTCTCATCTTAAGACAAATAGAAAGATGCAGAGATGGTTAACGTAGAAGCATTACTAGATCATATCATAATTTGAGACCATGATTATTAAGTATAACACACACGGTACACATTGAAGATCTACCTTGTCTGCTGGAATCGGAGCACATATGAGATGCGTTGGAAGCAAAGGAGTCCAGAGCGTGGTTAGTCACAGAGCCATCGGGTTGGATCGAAAGCTGGCACATTTTGTAGTCGTCTCTGGGCTCAAACCCATGAAGTGAATCATCCACCGAGCCACTGAGGCCCAAGTCCACACCGGCTCCGTTCACATTTCGGCCGTTCTGGTGGTCCCGGTCCAGGTCTGAAGTCATGGAAGCCATGGAAGACAGCGATGAGGCGAAGACGGACTGACTGATTGACTGAGGGCCCGTGTATGAGATCTGGAGCTGGTCTATGAGCTTCTGAGCACTGCAAAGACACTCCTGCAAAGTCTTCAACTCCCTCTCCGACACTTCAAGGCGCACTTTGAGTCTCTCGTTCTCCTGTTCCTTGTGTAGCAACTCCTGTTGAGTCTCATTGAGCACGAGCACCACTTCACCCAGAAGAGTATCCACAGCAGCGGACATGGCCGTTTGAATGGTCGGTGCGAGACGTGACTTCAGAGAGGTTACGGTCACGCCGCCCTGCGGGGCTCCGTATCCAGCCTTATCCGCTTTCCGATCATAACAAGACTCTACCCCGGTCCTGTCGGCGACGTTGATTATACTTTGTTTACGATTCCCACTGTGGACTGAGCTGTTGCCACTATTAGAAGAGGAATCCATGCTACCAGCGTAGCCTGTCCTCCTGGCAGTCATGATTTTGAATGTAGTTAGCTAGCTTTAATTCAGTTAGCTAACGTTTACAGGCTATGCTAAGTTTGAATGCGCTACTAAGATCTGTCCAAAAATACCAACAAACTGGATGAATCATGCGAAAGTATACTGCTGTGATATGTTAGAGCAATGAGTCGAGTGACACCGATCACATCCGTCTCATTATCTGATTAACTCTCGTCGCTGACAAACACAATCAACTCTGTGAGGTGCGACTCTTTGCGGGGCCTGGCTCCGCTAGCTAACGTTAGCCCGCTAGCTTCAAATACTAACAAACGACAGTCGGTCAAAGACGTATTCTTGCAAACAATGTGTCTCTGCGGGTGAAACGCGCTGGTGGTCTCAAACGTTGATATTCAAGTCCGTAAATAAGTGTTGAAATACTTTGATACCATGGCCCTCAGCAGCGACTCACCCATTTCCAGCTTCTGTCCAGAACTCGGCAGAACGCTGTACGCTGAGGCCTGTCGCACACGAATGACGTCGACAAAAGGCGATCCGTGCAAAATATGATGTGCCCTGGGTATTGACTTGAAGGGGTCTTTCTGCCCTTCAGCAGAGCATACATAGAAGCCAGAGTTGCGTGGCTTTCCCTCATCTTTGATTATATTAAATGGACCACATTTAGCAACATATTCAACTATTTTACCAAAAGAAACACCAAGCAACTGTTACTTGATCACACAGCAAAAACACAACTGCACATACACTGAACTAGCAGCCAAATAAAAGGAAAAATAAACTTCACCTTTTTACAGCTATAACCATAAATGATGTCTTATCTTTGCTGTTTTGTGATCGAAGTGTTCAAGGGAATACATGCTGCTACTACTCCAGTGTCTCAGGATCATTTGAATCAATTTCAGCAAACTGTTTTCATTTACATAGCATGGAGGAACATTTGTAGTGGGCCTTCCTTCAGCATCGAGGAGCCTATCCTCATACATCCATGTGTAGATATGGTGGATGTCTCGTTCTGGTGGATGAATCATGGTACTATACTCATCCTGTAGGCATTGAGCTTCAATACAGGCAGCGTCCTCATGGACCAATGGTTCATGGTTTTCTTTGAATTGGAACCTTTATAGGGCCTTTCAAAACAACAATATATGGAATTAATACTATTGGTGACATGCAAATTAAATTAAATGATGCCTACATTTACCTGAGAACAAAAGGGACAGATGGAACACAAATGTACCCAAATGGCCAACCTTAACATGCCTTGACTAAAACCTCTCCAACTTTGCGCTTACATATACCCAGTTTCATTATGATGCTCACACCTCTGCTGAAATCTCACAAGTATTACATTTATTATGATACCAAGATTATTAAAAAAAAAAAAACTTGTAGGCGCAGACTTGAGCATGACTTTTTCGTAGAGGGGCTCTGAGCTAGAGGCCTAGTGTTTAAGAGGTTGATATCTATTTGGACAATAGAAACAGGAATGAATGAAATATTTTAAATCATAAAATATATGCTAATTAGCATAAGACTTAGTGACCTGTATGTGACGAGTTGGGACGAAAACCTGTTGGAAGTCGGGTTAGTCACTTGTCTCTTTTATTCAAGCCTGACTCCATGTCTGACAAATTTATTTGTCTTTTCTTTTGTCTTAGTTGCGTCTATGTCCAAGTGTAATATGCATCCTGTTTGTCAGCCTGTAAGATTGAATTCGGGGTGAAATGATATTCAAACTTCATGGCAGTGCAGCAGCCTTTTGCGGAGAAAAGCTGAAGTTTTGCTCTTTTCTATCTAAAATTATAACTCCACGGTTTAAAATTGAAAGCACCCGCAGGCCATCGACCTCTCCGTGGGTTATGCAAACTCGGAAAATGCCGAACAAGTTTACAGATTATCCCACAGTCCTGTGAACTAAGGATGCTGTGAAACTGGCCAAATGTATCATGAATTCTCTGATGCTTCGCAGATGAACCGCTCATTGTCACAGTGCAATTCATTATGAAAAGCAATTACTGTCACCCACACCCAGTTGTGTAACTGAAAAGAAACAGACTTCGCCTGCCTTTTATTATTTTGGGCTCTAGGAGGCACTATAGACTGTTTTAATATGACTGATACGGTCAAGCCCTACATTAATTATCTCCTCTTAGAATGACTCCTCACCAACACGAATAGACTGAGCACATTAACAGTTCATTTAAGTTCATGCTTTTTTGTTGTTGTAATTTGTTCAGACAGATAAGGTGAATCATCAGGCAATACAGGCCACTGAATACTTCCAGAAGAATAAATTGAAAACGTCTGTTGCAGGGCTTCCTTCCTGCATCTCTTTATCAGCAGCTGGATCTTTTAGAGACGAAATACATTTTCTAAAAGTGAACTAGTAAAGAAGAATCTTGTTAATTCTAGTTTTATGGACCACATTTGCCTCATTCAGGGAGTGAGTGGGACAAGGTTGACGCCTCAAATTATGTTTCTTTTTATCCAAGGCTGTTGAAAAATAATGATCTACTTGACGATTCATTTGTGAAATGTGCATTATTGGGCCAATAGCCGATACGTTGCCATGATCTTATCTTTAAGATCAACTTTAAATCAAACACTATTTGTTCTGCAGATCTTACTAAAACAGAACCTTGTATCATTTTTATCTGCTTCCATTTCATATATAAAAATAATTGAATCCATACGCACTCATTTCTGATGAGGAAAGCAGACCCATCTCAGCCACACAGTGGTTGGGTTAAAAGTGACCTGGTCCACAGCAAAGAGAAGCAGTGCATTGTGGGATTATGTAACAAACCATCTAACAGTTACCATCTGCTTGAACTCGTGTCACTTCCAGAGTCACAACAGAAATATTTCTTACTCAGTGACTTCACCTCGGTTTCCGACTCGCTCACATTGCCTGTCACACCATCTTTGTTCCGATGACCGTATCACACAGTAAACCCCCCCCGTGCAAATATGTGCATGTCCTCCACACTGACACACCCACTATTAACTCACCCACAGACAAATGCTCTTACGAGACAGAAAGAAAATACACAATAATGATATCATATAAAAGTAATAAATCATTTATCTTGGGGGAAAAATAGTTACTCGTGATGTAATACCTCTCAACATGTCGGTTCCTGCAAAATCATATGAAGAGAAAAGATATATGTGAATACTAAAGCAGGAATAAGGCACAAACAGTCAGTAAAATGTCAACTGACATTCTCAGTTAAGCAGACTTTGACTGAGGTGTTTCTCAGCAGCTGACTGAACTTATTTCTTCTTCTGCAGGACAATGCGAGCTAATCTTGGTCACTTTTATTTGCAGACTGAGCTCAAAATCAGAGTGGAGATGTGAGCGGACAGCTGGATTTATGGCCACAGCTGTCACATAAAGTTGCTTTACCACATATCACATCAACAAAACATCTTGTTCAGTTCTTCTCTTTCCTGGAAGCGCTGAGTGAAGTTTTCTTGTTGTGATGTTGGTGTTCTCTCAAGTCAGTTGCCACCACTTGTTATTTTACCTCTTATTTTCAACCCATTTCATTTTTGTTTTTAAAGAAAAGTACCAGCATGGCAATTTCACACATTACAAATCATTTCTGGTACAAGTCTAGTCAGGTCAATATCCGGCCTTTTGGCGAACAGATGCACAACCGTTTGAGTCCTTTCAGGTTTGCTGCAGTGTTTGGAGTTAAGTCATATATATCATAGGATTTAGGTGAGAGGTTATGTGGCTAAATGGGATGTGCTGTCTGGAGCCACTGGCATATGTCAGTGATGATAAATTCCAATGAATCAATGCCCTGACACAGAGGTTCCACAATCCTATTTAATGTCCCTCAGCCTTAAAAGGAAAACAAGAGCTCATTAACAAGCGAGACACGCTCTGAAAAACCTGCACACCACAAAGGAATGTAATCCACTTGGTTCACTTCACCAGAAAATGAGGTAGCACTGATGTAACTAATAGCAGACTCTAGTAATACCACTAACAGCACACACACACACACGCACTCAGTCACTCACAGTACTAGACCATTTAGCAAGGAGGAGGGGATCTGGAGCAGAAGGTTCGGGAATAAGTGGAGACTGTGGGAGGGCAGAAAGAAGGAGGTGATTGTTGGGGAGACGGGAAACGTATAAAGGTGGAGAGCGCCAGAGAGGGAGCAAGTGGAGAAAAGACGAGGAGGAAGGAGCTTCTTCACATTTCGATAGAGATTATACAAACTTTTGCGAACAACAGGTAAGTTCATATCTTTTAATATTTTACATATTTTCACTCTTAACACAATCGAACAGAGCTTAGCTGTAGCAAAAGCAACAAAGAGCACAGAATTAATTAGTATTCAATAGTGGCTCCCGCTCCGTTTTCAATGAAGTTAAACACAGATTTATGTTTGGAGATTTATGAATGTGCTTCATTGTTACCTCTGTATGCATGTCCACCATAGAGCATATTTCAGGTATCTTTGTGTGTATTATTGTGGAAATAGCTCAAGCAGCTTTCCTGTAACTGGATCCTGCTGACAGGGCTGAGTTGAATCTTGGGTGTGTAGGCATGTGGACTTGTTGTGCAATACCGCCTGGAATGCTGAATGAGAGTGAAGTACCTCCAAATCTGAACAAATGAGGATTAGTCCTCGCAGCTATGTATACAAGACCATAAATCATCGGCAAACATGCCACAAAATTTAAAAAAAACATTTCAACTAATTAAGTGTCCACAGTTTTGTCATTTGCTTACTCAAGAGTAAAAACGGTGTGCTCTGGTTTTAAGGAAAACAGTTAAATGCATAGGTTTTATATTTTCCAGCAGACGCTCAGGCTCACATTGAAGCAATTTGTTTTATTCCCTGCAGTCATATAATCTCTAAACGACACAGCATCAGCAGAGAAATAACTATGTCCTCATTCGGGCTCTTTCATGCAAGAAAAAAATGCAACTGACTCTCTGAATGTACACTTTGTTGGAAACCCAAGGGGGCTGCTGCTTTTCATTCCTATGAAAAATAAAAAATAGATTTTTCCAGCTAACTGATGGAATTTTACTTTCTATGATCTCCAGACAGCTCAATGGCTGCCAATAGGGACCTTGCTTTCACCCTGGGGATCGTTTGCCTGGTTCTCATCAGAGGATACTCTCCCCTGCCTACCACATCGCAACTTGCAGAGACGAATTCCACGAGACCTCTGACACCACGTGGGTTTATGACCGAGACCTTTGAGTTCCCCACAGAGGACTACTCTCAAATAGAAGAAAACCCAGTTACCCTTCCACGGAATACAGCGTCTCCATATGAAAAGACCCCTAAGCGATGTGACTACAACTCTTGTCTCGACAGTCAGATCCCCTGTGCTGCTCTAGCAACCTCCACCGGATGCTTGTGTCCAGGGTTTACTTTACATAATAAGGTTCCAAATACTCCCACCCTGAAATCAGTGTCCTGGAACGGGTCAGAGGTTGTTGCTCGGTGGTGTGCACCTCATTCATACGTCACAGCTTATATTGTGAAAGTAGGGGGGCAAGAGAGGCAGAGGTTTAGGAAGGACCAAAGGAGCGGCGGATTGGGAGACATGGACCACAACACAGAGGTTTGTGTGGTTGCAGTGAATGATGCTGGAGACAGTGAGAGGTCCTGTTTGATGTACCCGCCCAGGGACAGCAGTCTGCCTCTGACAGCAGGGCTCATCGGGGGAGCTCTGGGCTTCCTGCTGCTCCTCTTGCTGGCTGTCCTGCTCTGGAGGCACAAGAAGCAAAGGAAACAGGAGGCCAGCATCTCTATGCATGACACAGCTGAGACAGAGTGAACAAGAATAGACACTCAGTGAGATAAGACTCTGTCCAATGAGACCCCTCAGCATCATTGCAGATAATGTGATTACATTATGTCTGAGGTTTTATGCAAAAAAAAGAGGCTTCTTGAAAATGCAGAAGGCAGCGTTCGGCATCACACATGAATATATCTCTTAGTGTAAAAGAAAGTCCACATTATGTGAATTTGGTCATTTTTTGCATTACAAAATGAGCTGCTTGTTGAACAGCTCTCCGGACTTCAAGGAACATCCCTGCATGTAGTCCTTGCTTGCAACTGCTCATTGTAGTTTATTATCAGTTGATGGGATAAAACGTGCAAATCCACCAGTATGGTAATTTAAGTATTTATTCATTCGTTGATATCAGGGAATTTAAGTTTTTTGTTTTAGATTTTTGTTTATTCCTCAAAAAAATACCGTTTAACAGAAGCAGCCGTGGTCCTGGGAAAACCATGTATCTCCAAAACATCAGCTTTCCTGAACTAAGAAACAGTTTTGTTTTCGAGTAATTCAATGAGTCTTTATGTTGTGTATTTAGCAGCAAGGAACACTGATTCCTTAAGTTTATCTAAAAAAAAGAATCAAATTTGGAGTAACTGTTTTTTAACAGTGTAGGTTATGTGATAAATACAAGATGACTTGATAGTTTGGAATGCAATAAGAAATAATGATTTATACCAGAGACAATAGCCGACACAGGTTCAAATGATTGTGAATATTTTGATATTATTTGTGGTCATGTATTTAATTACAGAGTGAAACGATGTATTGTGGTTTGAAGGACTGAAAGGGAATGATGTGCTGTATTATGTTCTATATTTATGAAAATCATTTGGTACGTTGCCGTAGAACTTGTTCATGTTAAGAGTTCGATTTGTCAAGATTCCTTAAACACTAAAGAGACAAACAGAAGTCTATAAGCACACAAAACAAGACCGGCTGTTCAAACAGAAACTACTGGTTATGAAAAGTATGTTAAAGGTTATTCAACATCTTTTGGATGGGTGTGTTCTTTTCCATCTTTGTCAAAAGTTGTGTCAGCGTACTGGATGAGCACAAGTCTTCAGTGCTGTGTTTTTTCCAGCTGTCATACAATAGCCTTTTCCCCGGATATGGATTTTGTAATTCCAGCTGAGACTTCCAGTCATCCAGCACTGAGCTGGTGAGAAGCTTCAGGCTGCTTTTTTTTTTTTTTTTTGCCATGATGAAAAAGAGAAGAAAGTCCAATATTTAACCCCCCCCAGTGTATATGTTCAATCTATGCATGTTCAAGCCTCCATCTGCACGGCTCGCAGCCATGTTATAATTCCTTCTTGCTCTGGCTGCTGCCACGGAGATGTTCCACTGCTCTTAGCGTCTTTCTTATTCCAGCTGCACTGCATAACTTACATCACAAAGAGCTGCATGGAAGTCATTTAACATCTGCAATTTGGAGACACAACAGATTGTTCATTTCAGTGACTGAAATGGCCTCAAGATGTTGCTTTTATGACACATATTCAGCCTGACTGCAGTCGCTCTCTAACTGGGAGGGAAATCTTGACATGAATGGGCCAGTATGAGAGGAAATGCAAAAACATGGGCGTACAATATCATGTTTTTTGTAATGCATACTTCAACTTGCAAAATAGGTTTGACAGGAACTACAAGCAGAGCAGAGCATTTCTGCTGATGGTACCAGAACAGCACAACATGTACTCGGTCATATCTTTTCAAAATGAATGTGGTTTGCCTTTTTGTTTTTCAATAAACTTTTTATTTTTGAAAATTCTGATGTTTTTGAATGACCATGAAGAAATCATAATCCAAGCCACGTATTGCACAGAGTGAAAAATAAAACATTCAGTGATGTCTGATTTTCAACATTAGGTGTTCAGCAGTGATGTAGTGTCACTATTAGGGTGGTCAGCCTTGCTTTGCTTCCATACGAGTTTTTTACTCTGGGAAATCTAGACTTAATTATTAGTCATCTTTTCCAAAATGTGAGGAGCTAAAGACAAGTAAATCAGGAAGAAAATAACTGATATTTAACGCACATATGTCACAGATGATACAGCCTAGTATTTATTTGTAAATTTTGCAGCAAGGTCAGCAGTGGGGACGGGTGCTGTTTCCAGGACAGACATGTTGAATCACCGCTATCTCATTCAGTAAACCCGCTGACTCATGTTACTTTTATGGCGAAGTGGTCACATATAAAAGAGTGAATCAGCTCAATTCAGGCTGTAGGATTTCACAATAAAATACTTTGTGTTGGCCTCCTCCCGCCTGTGTTACTTGTAATGTGTGATTAACAGCGACGATGGAGCTCGTTTGTATTAGAATGAGTAATTGTGTAGTCTATGAACTGCTGCTTGATATGTTCTCATGTGGATTCATTAAGTTTTGGATTCTCTCCGCAGGTATTGCATTATGTTGTGTGGCTAATGATGATTACAAAAGCCAGAGTTGAGAAATGACTCACCGAATTTGCTCTGCTAAACATGAAAATGTCACGTAAGCCAAGAAGCGGGCTAGACATTTTGAAGTGGCATTAAGTAATCAGGGACTTTTATAAGTGTCGGTCAGCATCCAAGACAATTTTCACAACAGAGACAAAAGGTACCTTTTAAAGGCCTCTTTTACCTTCCCTCAGGCTTGGAGAGGTTAGGAGAAGTCACCTTATTGCCCTCTGCTGGTCACATTCAACCCTGACAGAAGAGGCCTGGCTGCACTGAAGGGCAGAAAAGGGCATCAACACAAAAGCAACATAATCACAATGATAAAGCTGGATTAAATAACCCCAGAGTCTATTAACAGCACTCTGAAATGAGAGGTGTCAATGCTACATGAAACAAAACAGATCTTCGAAGGGGCCTGCACTCAAACACTGAAAATGTAGAGGTAAGAGTATAAAACGGGTTGGAAAAAAACATTGATTGGTATCCTCATTTGAGCTTCTTCTGTGGCAGCTTTTACAAAATGATATTATTTTTGGTGAAGTGATTACATTATTTTGTCTCCCCCCTGTGTTGTATATGTAATTAAATAAGGAGTGATTGTTTCATCTTTGGATAAAACCCCTCACTGGGTGTGTTTTCATGGCTGAGGCTTTAAGAGGCTTTACTGCAATGACTGTAATTGTAGGTTGTAATATTATGTTCACCTCATAACATCATACTGGTACCTATCCCGAACAGTCACTCATTTACATGCAATTAATTAATCGTGAACAAATTAATTTGCATTTACTGCTGTGGAAATGAATGTTAGTTGTTGTTATTAGTACTCCACCAGCAGGGGCACTAATGGCTGCTTTCTCTGCACACTGGGGTCAGCTTTTACAGGGCATAAAATCTTCAAAGTGGGTCAGGCATCCATCAGTGCCCATTATTGGATCTAGACAGTCCTGAATGCATACTGGCTTTATTCAAATGCAGAAAAGGTTTCCACTCCTTTGGCCTTTGAAGCTTTTTGCAAACAGTATAATGATTAAAGAGAAAATCAAATGAAAGGGTGTCAATCAAAGAACAAGGGATGCTGGGCCATGCTGTGGCCTTCATCAGATGAATCTCTGGGTCTAAGTGGGTGGTTGTAGGAACCAAACCCCCCTGCAGGCGTCGCATCCTGTTTACTCCCGTTATGTCTTGGACTGCGTCTGACTTGGCTCAGACCATGACTCTGTAAATAAAAGATTAACTTCAGTCTCAAAGAGTCACTCTGATGTCACTGGCGGGATGATCAGGGTTTATGTAAATGCAGACAAGGTGTGCGTTTGATTAGGTTTCTTCTTTTGGCACCGTAGGAAAAAAACAACAACAACAAGAGTGTGGCATCTTTCATCATCCAGACATCTTTCAAAACCGGTTGAGTGTGACTCAGAGCTGCTTTTATTTGTTTTCACTGGAACCACTAGAGGTCATTAACGCAGAGAGCACTGTTCAAAGCCACCTCTGGCATGCACTCAGTGATTATGGAGTGGAAATGAGTTGCTCTAATAAGGATGAAAATGAGTTTGCAGTGGTAATCAGCTCAGCCACATTTCCGACATCGCAGGGGGAGAGTCAGTGTGTTTGAAGAAGCCGCTAAATGTTTGCTTTCCGTCACCGTTTCTTTTCTACTGCTCGACAGGCAGGTCAGCGCTCTCCTCCCAACCCCCCCGGGATGGCTCAGTGAGAGCATTTCATAGAAGAAGAGGAGGAGAAAATCTTTCACCCCATTTCCTTGTATGAAGAGCAAGGGTAACCATGGTAACCTGGCATTATACAGGACAGAGTTGAGGAGGTTGAAACTGAGCTCGAGCTCGCAGAGAAGAGTTATCAATCACTTTGGCATCAGCACCATCACACACACACACACACACACACACACACACACACACACACACACACCCTCCCAGGCCAGGATAACGACATTTTCCTTTTCATCAGAGAACAAAAAGAAACATCCACTTCAGCGTCCAGAGGACAGATCTGCATGCATAAAACCCTCATGCTCATGTTAAAGGGTTAATGGTGTTTGCCAAGGCCAGTGTACCAGATTATTATTCATCATTTTATCAGTCAAACTAGAACACTCCACTGCAATCATATAATTCAATTAATTTAGTTTATTTAGCAAATAGCAAAAGAAAAATCTTGAAATTATAGAGGATAGGATTTCTCAGTTTTTGCTCTTTAAAAAAAAGAAGATATTTTCCTTATTATATGATCCTTATTAGATACAAGTTTGGCGGTTACATCCAAACCCAATACTCAACCCCAAGTTGCTCCCTGGGCGCTTTACAGCAGCACTCTGCTCCTAAAGTGCTTCGGATGGGTTAAATGCAGAGATCAAATTTCATGTATGTACCTGTATGTGTATGACAATTAACCGTGTTTTAAGTTGTGCAATAATTGAAAACGTGTTGAACAAATTATAGACCTCTGTGGAGATATACAGGCTTACAGTGAAGTAGTAAAACAATGAAGGTTTGCCATCCTGCATACCCACAAAAAAGGAAGAAGCTCGGCTTAAAGCTAATGATGAACATTTTTACCTGAACGACATACGATTGCAACACAAAGCATCTAAATCAGCACACAGCAAAAACTACTTACGATGAATTCCCGTAGAGTGGTGCTGGCTAGTGACGGGAATTACAGCTCTTTGAAGGGAGCCAGATCTCATGGCTCCATTCCTTTTCCCCCACTTCTTTAGGCTTATTTCCTTGTATCACATTATCTCGATGAACTAGCTTTCTGCTTATGAAAGAAAAAATATGAATACATTTTTAGAATCAGCATGTGTGCTCGCATTATGTGTATTATTATGTTCATAAATAGTTCCTGCTCAGGTGCCTTCAGCTGAATCTTTAAAAGAGCGTAGGAAACCTTGAGGGACATGGAGCCAGAGCTGTATTTAACCCTGTGAGGTTAAGTAGTTTTCCCAGAGAGGCTGCACTACACTGTTCTGTTCTAGCTCTGCATCGTGCCGTCTATCTCGCAAGCCATTTATATTCTTTACCTGCTTTTTCCTTTTTCTTGTCAAGGGGGCACTGAAGCATATCCCAGCATGCATTGGGATGGAGGTAAGGAGACACTTTGGACAGGCTGCCAGTCAATCACACAGTCTCCAAATCACTTTGAACTACGGGAGGAAACTTGCATGAAAAAGTGGAACGTGGAAACAGAAATACAGTTTAATACAGTAAAGACAGAAAAGTCCAAAAGTCCAAAAACCTTCTTCATCGGAATCGAAACAACATGACAGCCGTGAATAAGGAATTGTTATATAGAAGATGCAAAGAGGTAGTTCTGCACATCCTGTCCTGCATTTAGGCCAGGTGCAGGACAAACAGACTAAACTCGGTGAAAACATGTCCGATCTGTATGAGGAGACGTGCACACAGACCTTTAGAGAAATAACTGAGGCATAAACTAGAATCTAGGACTGATGCATGGCCAGATGTTGAACAAAACCAATCCCAATTACTCCTCCCATTTGTTTCATAATATAAAAAAAAAAAAAAAAAAACACACTGCAGCTGGGGCAGGAACAAGCACTGGAACAAGAGATGAATCAGGGACAGATTATTCAGGACACAGTCACAGGGGGATAGAGAGCTCAAGAGGAGAGCAAGGACTCGACCTTTTCTGAATATTCATGATGAAAGAGATAGAAGAGAGAGAGAGATGTAAACCTTTTCTGAGACCTGAAACCTTTGGGGAGTCTAATAAAACAAGGCAGCTCGTGATTCAATGGAAAAATAAATATATCTGGCAGGAGCAACGTCAGGATATCTTGGCTGTCGGCCAGCCAAAAGGATCAATAGCCATTAACACCATCATGCATGCAGTCAGAGGACAGCAGGGATCTGTGGCTCTGCAGAGTGTTTTATCATGATAGGAACCATGTTGGAGCTTTTTTTTTTTTTTACTGTAAGAGCATCCCTTCTCCTCGCCGCTGAGAGCGAGGCTGTTGGACTGACAATGTCATCAGTGTGCTGTGTATGTAACCACACCCAGCAGCCTGCAGAATCTAGGTCATTTTCTGGCTGGGATGAGCTGAGAGGAGGAGCCGTCTGGAGACACGCCGAGTCACAAATGTGTGCTGTGTTCATGTGTCAGGAGTCCGGCCGTAATCCAACACGCACCTCTTTTATCTGCTTCATGAATCAAGTGACATCCGCTGAGAAACACAGGTAGTGAAGCAGAGGGAGGGAGGGAGGAGTATGGAACGCTTGTAATTTCTTGCTCCAGTTCTCTTTGCTTCAGCACCGAGGACACATTGTTCATTTAAAA